GTTTGCTTATGCTCTTGCAGTTGCAAGAGGATACAGTTGAGTGGAAGAACCTCAACACATACATGAAGCAATCTCATGTCCAAATTCTTTCTGAGTGGCAATTGCGATGCAAGAAGAAATTGAATCTCTCACAAGAAACGATACTTTGGCAGTTGGTGAAAATTGCCAAAAGGCCAAAGAGTTGTAGCTGTAAATGGGTCTATAAGAAGAAAGAAGGCAATCCGGAGTTGAAGAATGCAAGATATAAAGCACGTTTAAGTTTGCTAAAGGCTTAAACACTCAAAAACATGGTGTAGAACTTTATGAAGTGTTTTCTCCTGTTGTTCGTCATACTTCTAATACGTGTACTTCTTGCCCTTGTGCCTTTGGCAGGAATCTTGATTAGAACAACTTAATGTCAAGTACTTGCTTTCTTAACATGAGAGCTCGAGGAGCAGATTATATGCAACAACCAGAAGGATTTAATTGTTTTGGAAAAGAAGACTATGTTTGTCACTTGAAGAAGTCTCTTATGGACTAAAACAGTCCCCAAGACAATGGTAACAAAAGGTTGATTCCTTTATGGTTGAGCATGGGTTATCGTCGTAGTAGTATGATAATTGTGTTTATACAAGAATTTTCAGATGGATCTTTTGTCTAACTTATTGTTATGTTGATGAACATGGCTGAATTGCGCTTCGTATAAGTCACTAATCAAAGAATTGAAAAAGATCAGTGAGCAGTGAATTTGAGATGAAAAAGAGTCTTGGTGCTGCAAAGAAAAAATTTCCTTGTATGGAGATTTTCGATAGAGACCGATCAGCTAGAAAATTGTATTTTATCTTAAAGAAAGTACATTGAGAAGGGTATTCTTGAAGATTCAATATGAGTAACTCAAAACATGTGAGTACTCCTCTTGCAGCTTATTTTAAATTATCAATCTGATTTCTGCCCTCAGTCTAATGAAGAGAAAGAGCAATTGTCCACATGTGGCCTATTCTAGTGCAGTTGGTAGTCTTATGTAGCTATGGTAATGCACTAGACCTGATCTTTGCACAAGGCAAGTTAGTGTGTAGCAGGTATATGAGTAAATCAGGTAAAGAACATTGGCAAGCAGTTAAATGGATATTCCCTGTACTTGAATAGGTTCTGTGGATACTGGTTTTAGTTTTTTAATAAGGAATAAGGTGAACCGAATATTGTTGTTGATATGTTGACTTTGATTAATGCAGGTGATCTTGATAAGAAAAGAAGGTCTTTGTTTAGGTTATGTATTACTTTATGCAATTCTGCATTAGCTAGAAAAGAATAGCGCTCTCAGTCCATGTGGCACTATCAACTGCGGAGGCAGAATATATTGCATTACTGAAGGAGTCAAAAGAAGCAATCTGGTTAAAGAAGTTTGGGTTACTGATCTTGGTTTAACCCAAGATGTTGTTACTGTTTTTGTGATAGTCAAAGTGCTATTCATTTAAACTAAAAATCAAATGTATCATGAAAAGAACCAAGCACATTGATGTGAGGCATTTTTATTTCGGGATGTTTGTGGGCAGATGGGAAGATCATCGTGAAGAAAATTGCTACAACTCATAATCCCTGCGGATTGCTCACAGAAACTAGTTCCAAATCTCAAGTTCAAGCATTGCTTGGACTTGAATCGGTGTTCACAATTCTAAAGGCTCTTTGGGGCATGGCGAGAAAAGGAATATGCACATCATTTTGTAAGGAGATCAATCTAGAATTTAAGGTCAAGGTGGAGATTGTTAAAATTGCCTTATACATTCTAAGAATTCACACTACTAGTGCCTTTGGTGGCTAAGAAACATGTTTCTCATGGCTTTATTACTAGTCTTTTTGGTGCTTCAAATGTTGGTTCCACATTACTAGTTTTTTTGGTGCTTCTAATGTTTCACACTACTAGTCTTTGGTGCTAAGAAAATTCAATGTTGGTTGGCAATGTGGTGTAGCTAACTGTGACTAGGATGGCACATCTTCAACAATGGAAGGAAAAACTTGAAATTGTTCACATAGTGGGATACACCTTCTATATTTACAGGCAACCTTGCTTGGGATTCACATTTAGAAAGATCAAACAAGTGAAATTCATCCAAGAGAGAAATCCTCCAAGAGCATTTCTCTAAAACTATCCCACTCTCTTCATATCCACCTTTTCAATATATATACACACTCTTAGCCATATTCATTGAGTGTAGTGAGGTGTTATCTTGAGTGCATTTTTGTGTGGTGTAAATCACTTGTATCTCCCATATTTTTCATAGTGATTTACTTCTCTCTCGCCCCGTGGTTTTTTTCCCTCTACATTGGAGGGTTTCCACGTAAATCTTGTATCCTTCCATTTATTATTTTACTTCTCATTTTATCAATCAATTAATCGAAAACTAAATATTTATCCATTACCTAACGCAAATTCCGCAAACACAAATATTTGTCACATTTGAGGATTTCACGTCCCTTGAGAAAGCCATTCAATTTGTTGAATTACAATAAATTGTTTCTTGTTTTGAGATTGAGTTATAATTAAAGTATTTGAGAACGGAGGGAGTATCATAACAATAATTAACTTTCACAAGTTAATTCTTGTTTTTGATATAAATGATAATTGGTCGAAATTATCATTAAATTTTATTATAATATAGGAAATTAATGTTTCCTTAACCCAATGCAAAATAATTAAGAAAGCGACTTATTGTTGGGTAACAGATAGAAGTAATTAGGTTACTATAATATGATCGTTAAATTTATAAGAAATGGATTTGTAACTATCGATGTTATATTGCAGAAGGTCATCTATCAAAACATTGTCATTGATTCTTCCCATTTAAGAATTTAGTTTATAGGCGCAAAAAGGAGGAAAAAAACACTGCAAAATGATCATGATTCAAGTCCTAATAATGCAGGAGAAAATACCCGGATTAAGGTTTTTGCAGGACTTTTGAAATTTGATTTCACTAGGAACGCCAACACAAGAACAAAAACACCATTAGTCCTTCAAAAGAGTCATGAAAAGATCAAATGGATGATCACCAACAGATGTGTCATATTATGAAAGTCCAGTTGACTAGACAGAGCCTGCAAAAAAATGTCAAATTTTATTTTGAAATTGATTATCATCTTAGCGATTTAAATTAAATCTATATGATATTCAAATAGGAGGCTACCTAAATATTTTTAAAAAGGAAAAGAGGAATGAAAGAAAGCTTTAATATATGAGTTAACCTTCATCTGGTCTTGGTCAGAAGAGAGACAAAAATTTGTCTGCAACCAAGTAACACTCAAAGCTTGCCTCTTTTTTAGATTTAGGTTGTGCTAATGACAGTGACCTGAGTCCAAAAGCCTTCAAATTTCACAGCTCATAATGACCAAGACCCACTAGACCATCACTCCTAAGAGATTTGCCTGCTCGGTCTGCCATCCGGATATGGGATTGTATACAGTAATTCCCAGCACAAAGCAAGGTGCGCTAGGCCAATGGATAATCATCAGGTATCCTAAAGCATACCCTGCCAATTTTTTTTATGTCTGTTAAAAATTGATAATATAATCCTATTTTTGGGTCTATTTAATAAAAAAACTATACTGAATTTTCTATTTTGAATAATATATATTTTCAAAGCATAAATTGTCAATTTACCGAATAATTATAGAAAAAGTATAATTATAAACTCACCCCATAAGAAACATTTTATCTGTACTCTCAAAAAATAATTAAAATTGTAAACCGTAATCTATTGTTATTTTAATCGTAAACTCCCTATAAGAAGACATTGTTTTGAGGGTTATAATAGAGTTAAGTTCCGTTAAATTGAATAACTCGAATATATATATATATAATATTATAATATATAATATGATATATATATATAAAATATATATATAATTTATTACAGTGAAGGAGCCTGAATTAATTAGGGGAGCTAAAAAAAATTTAAAAGTTGAATGAAGGGGACGAAATTGAAAAATTTACTATTTAAGATGGTAAAATAAGAAAATTTTAATATTTATAAGTGATTCTTTTAAAAAAAAATATTTTGTTTGGAGGGGGAAGGGGCCACCCCTCGCCCTAGCTCCGTCATTGCAGTTATATATATACACCACATATTAATAAAGCTAGTTTTTCCATTTCATTTAAACTAAATGAGTATTAATTGTATTTTTAATGTCTGAATTATAAAAATAAGTTAATTTTTTTTTACCAAAACATAAATCTACTGATAAGTGCATATGACTGTGGACAATAGATACAGGTTTCAATCGCATTCTTCAATTTCAAAAAAAAAAAAAAAGTTAAGTTTTAAAAAGGTTATAATACAATGTAATTTTTCATGTGACCCCTTCTATTCGCTCGTCAAATTAAGTGAAAACTTTTATAGTCCCCAAAAGTTCTCAAAACTTAGATTTCTCACTTTTATATACTGTTTGGCTGAAGACATCCAAGTTTATTATGTTATTAACAAATTCATTTTAAAATATTTGAAAAATAAACTTATTTTTAAGGAATTTGAAAAAAAAAGAATTGGTGAATAAAATTTTTCTTCCATAAGGCAAAAAAGAAACAAGAACATTTCTTACATAATTTTAAGAATAATTTCCAAAAAGTATAAGTAAAAATATAAGCATCTTTGCGTTTGATGAACAACATGTAGCTAGAATATCCTCCTTTGGTGATTGTAACAATCCGATCAATGCCATTAAAAGGAAAACTATCCTTTAAACACAAATTAAAACTTCTTCTCCTTCAATTAACAATACTCAAATCTTTCTGCAAAGAAGAACTTACAGTACCTACTCCGAACATGATCCTCAACCTTGAAATGCTGACATTTGAACCCACCTTTTTTACAGTTCCAACAAATCTCCATGTCTGCAGCCAATCACAACCAATTCAAGAGAATCATCAAAAAATCGTCATATAAGCAATTTACTAGTACACATACCACCATACCCTGGCACCAAGGGTATTGGAAATCTCCAAGTTTTATTCATATGTCCCAAGCCCAACACAGCATAGCAGATTCAGCAATGTGTGATTTTCAGATACACATCTTCGCCTGCCCACAGCCCTGAATATTTTCTCTTTCGATTAGATTGTAGCTTATTATAGATATGTTGGCCAAAATTAATCTTTTGATTAGCTGTTAGCCCTGTTTGGCAAATTATTTTTTTTAAAAAGTTAAAAAGCTTAATGTTCACAAGGCTGACTTTTTATAAACGCTACCTTAATTAGTTAGTTCAAGAATGTTATGCTAATCAAAAACCTGTAAAAAAATAATATTTAACGCTTTTAACCGAATAAAACATTAAAAGCTATTTAAAAAAAAATTGTAGCCCGAATGAAACTGTTGTTAAGTAGGCCTTCAAATTAAACTTTTAACTGAAAATTTGAACCAAGCCGAACCAATTAATTCAATTTTGGGACCGAAAATCGGCTTGGAAATGGAGGGGTCAACAAAATCGGCTTGGAAATGGAGGGTCAACCGGCAGTTCCAAGCTGATTTTGGTCTAATTCTAATCCAAACAGGAACAGTGGCTAGGTATACAGATATTTTATATAAAACTTCCAAACGTATAAAATTATACCTGCGGCTGAATTTGTAAGGCGATAAAACTCCAGATGGGTCTTTCGCCGCCCATGCAAGGCACTCTTCCTTTGTACTTTCAGAACTCATTTTTAGGTGTATCTATCTATTTCAACATAGACCATAAGCATATTATTTTATCATTTTAAATGACATTTATGTAAAAGAAGATTGGCAATATTTTAGGACATAACTTAAATTTATTTCTATGTAATTTTTAGTAAAAAAAATTGCAAACAAGAAATATACACAGCTGCTACAACTGATGCTCTAGACTTTTAAATTCCTCGTCAATGTAAGAAATCACTCAACTTTCCCAACTGTAATATTACAAACCAAAAACAATTGATAATAAGGTACTAGAAAGAGAAATTAAACAAAGATGGATCACTTAAACAAAGAACATAAATAAAAATGGGAAGATGAGAGAAGAGATTTGCGTACTGAGCAAACTTAGTTACATAAGGTACTAGAAACTGAAATACCCAATTGATAATAAGGTACTAGAAAGAGAAATTAAACAAAGATGGATCACTTAAACAAAGAACATAAATAAAAATGGGAAGATGAGAGAAGAGATTTGCGTACTGAGCAAACTTAGTTACATAAGGTACTAGAAACTGAAATACCCAATTGATAATAAGGTACTAGAAAGAGAAATGATCAATGAAGATGAGAAATTTCCAAGTTATTGTTCTTTTTCTTGCAAATGGATCATCATCCACAAGAAAATTAAAGTCTTAATGGTAATAAATGGGTTGAACTTTAGTGTGGTGTGTGGCCAACCCTTAACCACAAAGCATTACTCCAGGGTAGTTGCATGGTGAATTCTGGGTCCATATTAATTGTGATTGATCTGATCACAACTTAGTGCATATTTTATTTAATTGTGATTTTGTTTGTTATGTTTTTTTTTTTTAACCATCCCGACTAATTTCGCCGGGCAGGCCTAGAAAGGGGACAAAAGCGCTCCCTTCCGAGTGTTTAAAAGGGACTCCATATCCAAGATTCGAACTCGAAACCTTTGATTAAGAGAATATATTTTATTTAATTGTGATTTTGTTTGTTTTCTTTAAGTGCATATATTATTACTCTGTTTATTATATCATATGTAAAGAGCCAACTGTATAATATGGGCAGTTACCTGCAGTCGATAATTTTTCTATATAATTTATAATTTCTCCCTTTCTTTCCTGATTCTGCAAGTCCCTCTCCTCTCCCTCTTTCTTCTATTTCCCCTCTGTTTTTAGTTAATAAACAATAATAAGGAATTTCGTGTCTGCAATTTTAACAGACATGGAATATGTAATTGTAAGTTCAAATGTCTTTTTCATTGAAAAAATATATATAGAAATGTATAATTAAGGCTTTGTCCAGATGGGGTGAAGGAATAGTCGTTAAAGTAGAGTCAAGTAAATATGAGAAGGCAAGGTGAAGTAAAGGTAATGTTATATTCACCGATCATGTAGTGATCTGGTTGGTTTTTTCATTTATGTAAGGAGTGAGAAATTTTGAGTTCGAGTCATTTCGATCAAAGTTATTTTCACCAATTTAGTAAGTCATAGGGAGAGCTATCCCTATAATGTTACTTCGGCCCATAACAGCTTCCAATGAATTAAAAAAAAAAAAAAAAAAATAATGTTACTTCGGCCATAACAGCTGAATGATTAAAAAAAAAAAAAAACAAGCTTACCCACTATATAACCTGTAATGTTATTGTGTGGCTTGTAAACCTCCATAAATTTTTTAAAAATAATAAGTGATGTTATATTGGAACTAAGGTAAAGTAAATAAAGATTTAAACAAGTTTGGCTTTTAGAGTTGTTAAAAAGATAAAATTTAAATATTAGAGCGATAAAGTAAATAAAGATTTAAAAGTTTGCTTTAGAGTTGTTAAAAGATAAAATTAAATATTAAGATTTAAAAAAAAAAAAAACTATACTCTCATTTCAAACATATAACTTGGTTGAATTTATTTTTTTTAAAAATTAATTTATATATATTATTTTTTCCCGAGCTATATCTTAAAAGACATTGAAACAAATATTTTATTTAAAAAATAGAAAATATTTCAAAATAACCTGATTAATATAGGAAATGACTTAACCCCAAATTTAGTGGATTGATGAGGGAAGATTTTATGAGATTACTAACTCTCCAAAGTTCTTTCCAAAACCCTCAAATGGGCCGCTGTTTATCTCTTGTTAATTCAATTAAAGGTCCTTTACAGTCTGGTTGGGAGGTTCAAACGGTATATATTCATAGGGCAGCTAAATCATTCCATTGGATACTGATATTCTTCAGGCTCCAACAGCAGAATTCTAAAAAATATTCCAATATGTTCTTTAAGATCCCGTAAAGCATTAATTCTGCATTACAGCTTCAGTAATTACATGGTGATTAGAAGAACAACTGCTTATCAACTATCATCATACTAAAGCATTTAATGATAATACCTTTCACTTAATAATACATTCAAAAAGAAAAATGAAAAATTACAAAATTTGCAATTGAAAACGAGAAAATATTCTGTTCCGAATACTAACTAAAATTTTGAACTATCTAAAACTATCAGTAAGCGTGGACGAAACAACATGTAGCCCAACTTTCCTGTCTCAAGTACAAGGAGATCAACAAAACTGGACCTCCTTTTGATGGATAGAAATTGGGTATCTTATTTTCCCAACCATCAATACCCCTTTGACACTTTGTCAAGAGCATCAAAAACGTTCTGCAAAGTTACCTCTTCCACTATAACAACCTTGTCTCTTGATTTAGATCCAGAGCCTATGGATACCTGCCTTCTTTTCACACTTAATACCTGTTGACCAACAAGAAATCAATAATAGAGGATTCAAATATGATTTTTGTCAAGAGCATCAAAAACGTTCTGCAAAGTTACCTCTTCCACTATAACAACCTTGTCTCTTGATTTAGATCCAGAGCCTATGGATACCTGCCTTCTTTTCACACTTAATACCTGTTGACCAACAAGAAATCAATAATAGAGGATTCAAATATGATTTTGATTGCATTATACTAATACAATGCTACTTGAATTCATTAGCAAGGGTACATTTGGTGTTATCTTCATTTTATGTTCTTGTTCCTGGAAAAAGAACTTCAAGTGCTCTTAGTAAAATTGTTTCTGTTTCTTCTTTGACATTTTAGCAACCCTCAAACAAGAAACAAATCAGTAAATAAATAAAATCAAACCCATATAACATGGTTTTTTGAACCATCTTAAAATCCATCACCAAATAGCAGCCTTATCCACTATTGAAACCAACACCAAAAGCGCCCTTATATATGTTCCTGCCACTACCAAAACAGCCACCATCAGTCTCCTACCACCCATTCCCCCCACCCCAAAAACTAATCTGCCATTTATCATCATCATTAGGACAGCTTCACTACTAATACTATCATCTATTCATCTTACCCTCACAGCTGCTCTGCCTGTCTCTTTTAACCTAACCTTGAATGAACAAATCAAAATAATCATAACAGCCCACCATTCTAACCGCATACCAATACTTCTACCAGCTACTCAACCACCACGGCCTTCACCGTCAAGATATCACGATCATAGCCACCAATCTAATATCAGAATTGCCCACTGCTACTATAGCTGCAACTCCAGAATCACCTACTACCACTGCCACCAACCACCTCTACCTCCATTAATTGATAATCTTTAATCCCAATCCTTTACCCCTTCTGCATTACATACTTATCTGCTGTTCCTGCAATCTCTCACCACCTTTTTTTTTTAAAGCATAGACAAACAAGCTAGTTGCAACTCCAGAATCACCTACTACCACTGCCACCAACCACCTCTACCTCCATTAATTGATAATCTTTAATCCCAATCCTTTACCCCTTCTGCATTACATACTTATCTGCTGTTCCTGCAATCTCTCACCACCTTTTTTTTTTAAAGCATAGACAAACAAGCTAGTAATTAGGCTCAAACCTCAAACTAAACATAACTAGCATAAAAAATGAAGAGATAGAAACTATCAAATTTGCATGAAATCTATTCCTGAGGACCAAAACCTCTTCACAACCGATGAATTTGTAATAATGCCATATATATATCCTAACCATAGTTCCCATGTTTTTAAACAATATACTATCCATCCAAAAAAAAAAAAAAAATTCATTGGTTGGAAAAAAAAAGTATAGCAAATATTAGGCATCTAAAAGAATTAAATTTTCCACAAGTAACAAATTTGGCATCCGCACATAGAATATACAATAGTAAAAGGAATAAATGTAAAAATAAGGGAAGCAAGAGCACCATTGCAGCAGCCAAAATTGCTGTGGCCATGGAACTTACTCTCTACATAATGACGAGACTAAAACACTCTCAAGAAGAACTTCTTGAGTAAACAGTTAGACTTCATTGCATTGGCTAAAGCAAAATAAGCCCAATCTCTTCAAAATTAAATACATAAATTGATAGATGATCACTGAGTTGCATGTTGAAGTTTGGTTACTGAGTTGCTCATAGAAGGAGCTTGTGACAAATAAGGGCCTCCATTCATAAATTGATAGATGATCACTGAGTTGCATGTTGAAGTTTGGTTACTGAGTTGCTCATAGAAGGAGCTTGTGACAAATAAGGGCCTCCATTCATCTCTTTGAACAGGGCTCAGTGGTTGACCATGAGAATCTGTCTGATTTCATTAAACTTCTTGATATTTGGTAAACAGTCAATAGCAGATTTTCTGGAATTTTGATTGAGTTGATTGAATTTTTATGATGAATTCACTATTGCTGGATAAGTGAAATTAAATGATGAAAAATGTTCAGTGGATGTGAGCCTTTTAGCTGAGGTATTAGTTAGATTTTGGCAATTCATCAAAAATTTCGGATGGGTTTTTATAATGTTCTGTTGGGTGCTTGTTAGAATCATTGGCTGAAAATTAATCATTTAGTAGGTGGGGGGGAGAAACAAAAAATCTGCAAATAAGTATTAGACTCAGTCATCTTTTCCTTGTCAATCAAAGGACGTTTTACAATATTTAAAAAAATAAAATCTATAATAATAATAACTTCAAAGAAAAAAACAAATTCACAGGCTTCGACTTGATTTAACATTTTCATTACTTCTAGTTAAGTAACAATAAATAAACAGCTACCTGAGAAATGAGTATATAATCAAGAAAAAGGAGAACTTACAGAACTAATATAATCAAGAAGAGCTGCGTTAGCTTCACCATCCTTGGCTGGGGCGTCTATCTGCACACCTAAAGCTTCATCACTGAAATCTATAATCAGATAAACACAATTAGTAAGATTTTTACAAATTAACAAACGTTTACAAATTAAACAAACAGCGAAGAGAGAGACGAGAGAGAGAGAACAGATTCAACCACCGCGTGATAGAGGCCAGGATTTTAGAGCCAGGCTTGGCGTGGTATGGTGATGGGCCGACAGCAGGGAGGGAGAGGCGGATTTAGAGCCAGGCTTGGCGTGTATGGTGATGGCAACAGAGGAGGGAGGCACGAAACGGATGCACGACGGGTAATTGTTTTGTATAGTTGGTACTGACGGCTTTGGCTTATTTGAATCGGCCGAGTTGGCCTTCGCTTTCCCCTTCTTCGCCGGTGCCATTAAAGCATGTTTTTTCTTCGCCTTTGGAATTTTAACCTGAGATAGTCGAAAACGTAATTAGATGGTCGTTTAAAATGGAAAAAATATTCGATTACACTGTTTACACGGAAATCAATTTCTTCAGGGTAATTTTCACCGGAAGGAATTGAACTATACGGATAATCATTTAACGTGTATCATCTTCGATGTTAATCATAAAAATATCTAAACTCTCCGATTTGTAACAGTAAAAGACGGGGTACCATCTTCAATGTATCATAAAAATATCTGAACTCTCCGATTTGTATCAGTAATATGTATTTTGCCTAATTTGAGAAATTTGGATGGCCGGATTGCCACGTATTTAACGCGTGGCATTTTTATTTAATGAAAAAATTCTATTATTTTCCAGGTTAGCCATTTTCTCTCTCCTCCATCTCAACACTCAGACCCCAACCTCTCTCTCTCTTCACTTTGTCGATTAAGTTTCTTTTTTGTATTTTTTTTTGTTTCTTTTCTTTATTTTTCATCGACAATTTTGAAACCCATTCGAATCTCCCCTGAACTGAACCCCAAATCGCTGATACGGAATCGCTACCGCTCAACCATAGATCTCAAGAAAGCATGAAGAACACTTAAGTTTCTCACATTAATGGAAGTACATGTTGAGATAGAATCTAAAATTCCAGCATATGTCATGCCCTAGCCATACTAGAGCCTAACTTTGGCATAATAAGTTAGTCCATTTTTGTTAGTTTTGAGTTGTAATGTTGTTAATGGGTTGGGCCACTAATATATTGGGCCACCAATATATTGGGCCACGCTTTTATTTCTTATCCTTAGTTGGTTTGGATTAATTATTCCTTATCCTAGATTTTTTTTAAATTTAATTAATCTTTAGTTGATTTGGATTAGTTAATCCTTATCCTTAAGTTGTTAAGATTTGTTAGTCTTATCCTTAGTTGGTTTAGATTAGCTAAATCCTTATATAGCTAATCCTAATTCTTTAGTTGATTTTAGACTAACTATTCTAAATCCTTTAAGGATCTGGACCTCTTAGATTAGTATAAATAGCTTGTTATATTTATCCATTCAAACATTCAATTATTTCAATGAAATAGAATTCTTCTTCATTGCTTTGGCGTGTTCTTTGCTGTAGAGGGTGTGAGATTGCCATTCTTCTAATTGCATCAAGAATCAAGGTAAACTTATTAAACTTATCAATTCTTTGTGGCGTTTATCTTATTCTTTTACTCTATTATTGGTGTTCTTGCTTCTTTAAGCTTTGGGTGCTATAGAGGGGGGTTTAGTTTGATCTTGGATCTCTTCCAAACCTTGTCATAGAGTTCATGGAATTTATTTCCATAGCGTTCTGCGTTAGTTTGGTATCAGAGCCAAAGATTAAGGTAAATTCTTATTTATCTTAGTTCTAGGGTTTGTGATTGTTTGTTTTCTAGTCTTCTTAAATTCTTGTGTTTGTCTTATTGTTTGCTTAGTTTTAATTTTGAATTTGCATCAATTGTGTTTGTTAATTTCGTTCTTGTTCAAAAAAAAAAAATTCTGGAAGTTGTGATCTAGAATTCTTGCCTAATTAGATTTGCTTTCAAAAAAAAAAAAAAACAAAAAAAAAAAAGGAAGAAAATTTCGTTCCACCATTCTGAAGCTTGACTTATTGTGGGATTTTGTTCCAATTCATAGGGATTTGTCCTAAATTCTTAGAGATTGACCTTATTTTGTGGAAGATTAATTTAGTCCACTATAATCTTTGATAAATCAAATCTTAACTACTTTTGGATAATCAGGTGAACAAGAAATTTTGTGGATAAGGTAACAAGAATTAGTTATCCATATCTTTTTAGATTAAGCTTATCCACTATAATCCTTGTCAAAATCTAATTCTAACTAAATTGGGTTATATTGTTAGGATAAAAGAGGATACAAGTCAGCACGCCCGTGCTTCACAATTAGCACACCCGTGCTAGGCTCTGACCTTATAAGGAAAAAAAAATCTTTTATTTATGGATTTTTCTTTGATTGCTTGCTTTGTTTTGGGTAGAATTCATTAGGTCCATATTTGGTTTGCTTTGTAATAAACTAAATTCATACATTATATCCAGAAATTATCTTTTAAATTCTAGTTTCTTTATTCTTGTTTGAGCTTTCTTTTGCTTCTGTTACATTATTAGGGTGTGTTTGGTTGTTTACTACACTCTAATTGATAATTAAGTAGTGCATTGTTTTGTTCTTGTGCTGCTATCCATCTCGTTTTGAGTCTTCTTTCTAGAATTCTTTCTGGGTCTAGAATTCCATCTCGTTTTGAGTCTTCTTTCTAGAATTTGTGCTTGCTTTTTTATTGTTAAGATTTATTCCTTGTTTCTAAACGTGCTTTTGAGTTGGTTTGTATACCTAAGATTCTGAAGTACAATTGGAGGAATTGCAATGAGTGATTAAAGGGTGTAAACACGTGAGGGAGTGCTTTACTATAAACTCAAATCTTTTTGTGTTTTCTATTTTGAATACTAACCATGAGTGCAGGCAAGTTTAGAGATAATAGTGAGGATGAAAGTCAAATAGACGATTCCCAATTAAAACTTGTAATGGAATGCCATAATTATTCTCAAGAAAAGAAATCTCACCTTGCAGCTATCAAATTCAAGGGTTATGCTATGTTTTGGTGGGAACAATTGCTATTAAACAGAAAAGGAAAAGGAATGCAACCTATACCACCATGGGAGATCATGAAGGAGTTGATGCTCCAAAAATTTGTCCCTACTCATTACATTAGGGATTTGAACAATAAGTCAGGAATGGTGCAAGGTAGGAAAAATATGGATTACCTCAATAGGTATTCATTCACAAAGGATGGATGGATGACTGGCCCAAGATCATGTTCCTCAAAAGAAGCGTGTGAAGACCAAAAATCAAAAAGATGAGTTTTGAAACGCTGCCAATAAAGAAAAAGAGTGGTAAAAATAAAATGAGTTAAAAATAACTGAAGTAAAAATAAAAGAAAGAGAGGGAAAGAAAAGGAAAGACAATTCAACCATAATTGTTACCTTTGTGCCAAAGAAGTTTGTTGGACCATCCAATTGATCCTAACCCATCTTTTGCCAAGTGTGTTTGTTGATCCATTATGCAAGAATGATGAAAGATGTGTTCCAGAAGAGGATTGCCAATCTTCAATGAGGAATAAAAGATGGTTCTTGATCCATTATCACCTCAAGAAGTATATGAAGATCAAAGGATAAGTATATGAAGATCAAAGGAAGATAATTGAGAGAGAAAGAGAGGTTTCGGCCTTGAGGAAAAATGAGAATGAGATTTCAAAAGAAGAAAAGAGTGAAGAAAAAGAGGAGAAAGAGGCCACAAAAGATACAAAATAAATTAATGGCCCATTAGAGAGTGAAACACCGAGAGGAGAGAAAGAAACAAACTCTTAATTTGAGAAAGGGAAGGAAACGAAGTAGTGATGGAGAGGGTAGACCAGTCTTGATGATTCAGTTAAAAGAATTTTTACTTAATTTGCCTAACATTGACTCTTCTACTTTGCCATCTAGTATCGTTTCTTTGTTACAGGAGTTTTCTAATGATGAAAAGAAGGCCACTTTAGTCAAGGAAATGCATGCTAAGGCTAAAGTTTATAGAGACATAAAAAGGAGGAACAAACAACCATGGACCAAAAGAAGGGAAGGAATATAATATTTGTGCCTAGTGATTGGTTTTGGGTACATTTTCGCAAGGAAAAGTTCCCAACCAAAAGGAAGATTTAAGCTTGATGAACGTTGGAAATTTTGGACACCCTACAAGCATAGGGACTTACTAGGTGAGTATGGTGTTTTCCATTGGTTTTAATGTTTATGATTTGTTCTCCTTTGACATGGATGCAGATTTGAGGACAAAATCTTTTTGAGGGAAAGGGGGAATGATACGGAATCCGCCATCACTCATCCATGGAACTCAAGCGGAGAAAGAAAGGGAGTAAACAACATTGGAACCATTTAGTGCTACCTAGTGGATCAATTACAAGAAGTCATGCAAAGAAATATCGAGCCAACCATGGAGATTCAAGAGAACATGGGGATTAACCTCAACTTCTAATAAAAAGGGGATTCCGAGACGAATCTTTTCGAGGAAAGGGGGAAGGATACGGAATCGCTACCGCTCAAACCATAGATCTCAAGAAAGGGATGGGAGAACACCTAAGTTTCTCACATTAATGGAAAGCAACATGTTTGAGATGGAAATCTGAAATTTCAGCATATGGCATGCCCTGACCATACGTAGAAGAAAACCTAACCTTTGGCGTAATAATGTTAGCCATTTTGTTAGTTTGAGTTGTAATGTTGTTAATGGTTGGCGCCACCAATATATTGGGCCACCTTTTATTTCTTATCCTTAAGTTTCGTTTGGATAATTATTCCTTATCCTAGATTTGTTTAGATTTAACTAAATCTTTAGTTGATTTGGATTAGTTATCCTTATCCTTAAGTTGTTAAGATTGTTAGTCTTATCCTTAGTGGTTAGATTAGCTAAATCCTTAATCTTTAGTTGATTTAAACAACTATTCTAAATCCTTAAGGATCTGGACCTCTTAGAAATTAGTAGCTTGTTATAGTATTCATTCAACATTCAATTATTCAATGGAAAAGAATCTTCTTCATGGCTTTTGGCGTGTTCTTGCTTTAAAAGGGTAATAAGATTGCATTCTTCATAATCCATCAAATCAAGATAAACTTATCATTCTTTGTGGCGTTTATCTTATTCTTTTACTCTTGATTGGCTGTTTCTGCTTCTTTAAGCTTGGGTGCTTTAAGCTTTGGGTGCCATAGAGGGGGGTTTAGTTTGATCTTGGATCTCTTCCAAAACTTGTCATAGAGTTCATGGAATTTATTTCCATAGGGTTCTACGTCAATCGCCACGCAATCTTCAGTTCGTTTGGGTTTCATCATCCTTTTTCACTACTGTTTGAGAAATCCAGACCATCAAAAGCGTCAATTTGGGGACTCTTCATCCGTTTTGGGGTAACTTGCTCTCTTTTTCATCTTTTCTTTTTCTTTCAAAGCGTCAATTTTTTGGCTACTTAGAGCAACGTTATGAGAATAAAAAAAAAAAAGAAGAAAGAAGAAAGTAAGTAACAAGAAAGGAAGGAGCTTTGGACGCGTATGTAAAGTGCACGGATTAGAATAAAAAAGAAGAAAGGAAGAGAAGAAAGGCAGAGAGAGAATCGGTCGAACCCAGACGCATTGCTTCGATGGATAAAAGCCCAATAGGTATTTATCCTATTTTGTC